GGTTTAGGGGCCAAATTTTAGTCGCAGCATATGCCTTCTTGATTGCATTTGGAGTGTATGTTTCATTAAAGGCTTCACCAAAGACTTGCGCAAATGATTGCTTAGTAACAACCTTTGTTTCGTTTATACGGTACCGATCTGCAGCCTTGTCATATTCGTTTTTGAGTTTTTTAAAAGGGATTTCAAACAGCTGAAGCAGGTGAGTGGTGTTAAAAGGGAGGATATAAAAAAGAATATTGTTTTCTTTGCAAAAATTTATGCTAACTAAATTGATATGACTAGAATAACCATCAAGCATAAGCAAAACGGGTCGAATTGGTGGAATTGATCGGTTAAAATGCTCGATATACATTCGAAAGATGTCTTCATGCATATAGCCCGTATTGGTAAAAGCAGCAACGGTGCTGGGAGGAACTGCTGGACCGGATAATAAGCCTTCAATAACTTTAATACCTTTGTAAATAATCAACGGCGGAATAAATGTACCAGCAACGGAAATGGTTGGACATACTGAAATATGTTCATTTGAGCTCCCGGTCATAGTTTTGTGAATTTGTTGGCTATTTTTTTGCACTAATACTTTCTGTAGTCAGGGTGAAAGATTAAATCCAGTTTTATCCATATTCCAAATACGGTCGGCAGTAAGAGAATGATTAGTTATCATTTGTTGTAATGATTCGAAATGTTTTTGAATAACAACAGAATTACCTTTGGCTGCTCGTGCACTAGTAAGTTTTTGCGGAATTCGAAATGAAAGTATTGGATGATCACCTAAAAAACGTTGCCACCATTTTTTACCCGGACTGATTTTAAACAGATGTTTTCAATTTTGCGATTCAATAATTTGCATAACCATTGTATTAACAGCATCTTTGGTTAATCTGAAACCAATTTTTTGCATGCTTAGACAATAGCCTACAAGTTTGTTCTCTTTGTCGGCAGTAAGTATAGTTGAAGGGCCAGGTCATTTCGGCACCGCATTTTTTTTATTGCGTCACGTAAAGTTTGTTCAGCAATTCCATGTTCACGAGTTACTTGACGAATATTTACAGGTTGATCAGACTTTACATTATGTTTAGCGACAGTATCTAATGCCACGGCAATAGCAGCTTGACGTTCAATGGTAACTTTTTTGGAAGTCATTATACAGTATAACTTAAGTCTAAATTTATTAATAAACAATTACATCATCATATTTATTATATTTACATAATTGATAATACATGTATATTATAAAATAAAATATTTAAATTAATAAATTTATTAATAAATTAAAAAAATATATATTTAAAAATAAAATCCACGAAAATAAGAGTAGTCACGAAAATAGAATCCTATACCTTATGATCGCCACTGTATATATAAAAATACAAATAACAATGAACAAAATAAATTAACAATATGTAAGTAATGTAATGGCATACAGACATGTTGTATACGCCACTATTTACAGTATTTCAAGGGGCATTAAAATTAATTTATTGTTAATTTCAATATACAAATCTTATCGTTATATTATTTGATATGTATGTAAAATTAAAAGCGATTGGGAAATTAAATAGTATAGTGTAATATTTCTCGCAATAATCAAAAATCAAAAATCAAATTACGTAATATACAGTAAAATCCATTTTTTCCGCATTAATTTTTTAATGAAAAATTTTCGTTCATTATCAAACGATTACTGTATAAATAAGGAAGACGTTATTTTAGCCACTATCCCTGCTTGTGAAAAATGTAAAACGTTTTTTAGCCACAATCCTATTTTGGTCACAATCCCTGTATGTGAAGAATGTAAAATTATGTAATGTATCACCATACGGATATGGGTAATTATTTTTGAAGGCAGCAAAATTGCTAGATATGATTTTTTCGGTCCCTAATTTAAACAATACATACACAATGTAAATTTTAGGATCACAATTATAGTGACCGAAAAATCCCTGTTCGCCTTCGAAAAGAATTACCCATATTTACACCAAAATTAGGGGGTATAACAATTATCAGAAAGAATCGTTCAGATTGTGATTTTAAAAAATAAGATAAAAAATTGGTTTTTAAAACTTTATTGTTTATACCTACTTTGTAATTTGTCCGCTCTCTCACAGGCGCCCGTGTTTTCTGGGTCCTGTATAAAACAGTATAATCGACAAGTGAAACGTGTGGAAATTTTTTCAAGACAATGTTTTTTATGACTTGTAAAAGACAAATTTGTATTTAAATTGTTTCAAAAGATTGTATTTCTACGGACTGGATAAATTTAGTATAGATCATTGTCCATTCTTTCTTTAATCTGCTTCTGTCATTATTGTCGAAGCCATATATAATCCTTGTTTTGGCGCTGGGATTCACGGCTTTTCCCTTGTCTTCTAGAACTTCGGAAATCGCAATATTCATCACTTGGCAACATACATAAAAATACGGAAATCTTTCTTGTACCAATGCGGAAATTCACATTCTCTCATCCATTGGCTGACCCCAGCTGTTGGCCTTTTTTAAAAACTACAATTGGTTCGTAATGAGTGAACATGTGGCGGTATTGAATTCACCCGAAAAAAGAAACTTATAGACGTCCAAATTAGTAGCATGCATAATGACGGTTTTCTTTGCAACCCTATTTTAGAATAATCATCAGCGAATTGGCACTTATCTTTTGTACAAGTTATATTCTATTTTCATGTCTGGTGCATATCGAGAAATTCCTATTGTCTATATTTGAAAATATTTGTGCACTTTAAATGTCATCTACGTGTTACCAAAATTTAAATTTATTACAATATGTCTTATTGCGCATTCTATTTACTTACGTGCGTATATATAATTTACGACTTCCCGGTTTTCTTCCAAATCAATATTCATTTGAATAAATCTTTTCGTTGTTACTACGTTGGAAGAAAGTGCGATCCCCTAATTTTCACCCAATTTCATAAAGACTGACCAATCGCAACGAAAATCCTGACATCAGCTGAATTAGTAAAGAGATAATTGATCCTACAAAGAATTGTTTGATCAATAATAACACAATATTCCATTATTTGACGAAAATGCCATTGCTATAAGCACTCCAATCGAATTGAGTTTTCGGTCCTTGTGGAAGATCTTTTCGCCTAATTTGTAATATATATCAGTTAATTTACTCGCAAGAATTCCACTGCACTTATCCGCCTTCTATATTCATCTATCAAAATAACGTGTAGACTTGCCAAACTCTCCAATCACACAAATAAACGCGCACATAATTAAAAAGCACGTATATAATACACAAATACCACAATCTCCACAGGAAAGCAGTTTAACTTAGCATATACACATATACATACTGTATATATATATAAAGATATCAAACTAGCATAAAGTTTGACGACAGCCCAAACCACTTATGCATATAACCTCTCATTGACAACACATTCTTTTTGACTTTCCCTACCCATCATATATTGGGTTTTCTCAGCACACAATCATTCACGAATCATTCTAATCAAATGAGCAATATCAGCTCCGAAGCGACGACCACAACTCCTTCATACTCGACAACCCCTTTACCCTCGATATCTCCCTCGACAACACATAATGTTCGAGTGCCTGGATCAGAAATAGTGTTACCGTTGGGCGTCTCCCTAATAACATTGAGCTGTATGTGTACTTCCTATGTGATAATTCGAACACTTATACGATGGTGGATTACTCGAAGATCGTTGTCGATGGCATTGAGGGTTCCCTTTTACATTGCAATCTCTGGTAAATAATTTTATCGATCTTCTGACATCTTTGGGTTACCTATGAATAACACGTAAATGATCGTTTGCTTTTCCATTAATAGATTTTGTGCTGGTATGTACGTATCTTCCAAACCTGGTGAGTTAGTTTCATATATTACCTTTTTTTTTTTTTTCTTTCTCTACGTTCTCCGGTCTAATCCTCAAAAAACAAATCAACAGGTATATTCACTAATCCACGGTCACCCGTGGCCAGAAGCTCAATGTCGCATAATAGGTGGTTTCACATTCTTTTTCATCTCATGTAACATGACCCTTGTGGGCTTATTGGCTTTCCTCACCTACCTGAGAATATGTCGGAGATGGTATCTTGATCTGGGCAAATACGACTACAAGTTATTCTCCGTTATCTTGGTGTCGTCACTCGTGTTCACCATTGTTGGGATTCCAAGTTTTGGAACTAGTAAATACTGGTATGCATTCGTATCATCTTTGAGTTGGTATCATGAAAACTATTTCTGAATACAAAAAAATCACAGGTGTTTCACAAATCACAATAACGCAATAATGCCAATCATAACCCTCGTCCTGAATTTCACCATACTCTCCGTCACCTTATTCTCCTATACCATGACATTGCGACAAATCAACTCTATCAACTTCCGTCGAGATAACGGGAACAAGTTTGACACTGTTGCCACAAGGTCGAAACAAATTGAACCCATAGTGATTAGGAAGGTTATCGGTTACGTACTCATATTCCTGCTTCAGTGGACGCCACCAATGATTTACGTGTTCGGTCAAGTGATTAATGTAAGAGATTTTTCACGTGATTTTACATTTCAACTTGAGTTCTTTTCTTATATCCGATTCCTTCCTTACGCATAGTATGACGAAATGTGGATCTATATCGTAACAGATGCCACCATAAATCTGGGCGGTGTGGGAAATATGATTCAATATATCATTAACGAAGGATGGTGGGATGGCTACGGGTCATCATCTGGCACCTCTGTCGGCTCTAACTCCACACCTCCGACGCATAATATTTTTGGTGGTACCTTATCCTCGTCTGTCGAGAATGCTCGTAAATCTCGTGTTAAAGTGAATGCGGATGGTAACTCCCTTAACGGTGAACTGTCGCCATCGAAGATGTTCCCGTCTGGACACATTTCTCAGATAACTGTGGAAGAGGTGGTGACCGTGGTAATCGAAGATTCACCTTCAACGCCATCCACCCTTGATGATGTAGACCTCAATGATGGTGATGTACCGATGTTGTTTCGATCAAGACCAAATTCCTGTGTCACGTTCAGCGTAGATAGAGAGGATGCATCATCCCGTATGAACTATAATTCTCCAGTTTATCCAATGATGAACGCACCTTCACCCGCCATAACTACTGCTACACCCTCGACAATTATAAGCGCCACACCTTCACAGACAATAAGCAACACACCCTCACAGACAATAAGCAACACATCCTCACAGAAAATAAGTACAACCTCGTCGCAAATTACCAATAATAAAGGCTCAAGTACTCCCATTGCTGACAACTCTGATCGAATCCACGTAAGTGAACTAGAACAGGTCATAATACGTCATGACAAAGCCTTGTTGAAGCACGGTGGAAATTTGGAAAGACAAGGCAGTACCATGCTAAATAGAGATCATAGTTTAAAAGGTGCTCGTAGTGTGGAAGAAATTAATAGAAGCATTGCTAGCATTCAGAGTTCGAACTACAATGGAAATGCCAATGTTGGAATTGCCGAAGGTGCAGGAAATGGCGGCGTGAATCGAAGCAAAAGCCTCAACAGTGGAAGTTTGAGTCGTGGTGGAAATGGAAGAAGTGAAAGCGAGAGTAGCAATAAAGACTCAAATAGAGGCGAGGGTGTGGTCAACGAGGAAGATGATCATCTTTTTATGTAATTTGAACGATTGAACTTTCTACTCAAATTTGGATTTGAATTTTTTTTTTTTACACTTGGAAATAGAGGAAATAATATTTGCTGTACATAGGACTTCACTTTATTTGTTGCATTATTTTATAATTTTTTTTTGGACATTTCCTTTTATTTCATTGCTATTTCCAATATATACATTGAATAATGTGTGCGATATATTTATTTATAGACATTTCATTGTCTTGTTTTGTGCGTGTGTAAATACGCGAGACGCAGACGCATAATATACTTACACAGTATATACATTACCATTATCGTAATAAATTTATAGAAAATCGATCTTGTTTTCCAGAAAAAAAAAGAAAATTTCAATTACCTTTAATTTGCATATTCCTTTCTTTAATAAGGAAAAAAAAAAAAGGTCAAATATACATACTATGGTCCCGAAAATTGGAATCGCATAGACTCGCATGGACTCGCATACATATAAAAAACATAAGTGGATTATAA